TATATATATGTATGTGTGTGTATGTATATGTATGTATGTATTGTGATGAGTCTCCTGCTCTTCCTGCTACGGCCGGCCAGTGGGTGTGTCTAGGAGATTCATCAAGAGAACGATGTCCACCTGTTCTTCCTGCTATAAAAGTCTTGGCTTTGTTGGTGTGGGTGCGCCTGGTTTGTTCCTGATTGCTTTGTGTTTGTTTTAGGTTTTGGAACGTTTATTTGGATTTTGTTATGAGTTGTGAGACTTGTTCTGTCTGACTCTATAACATCTGTGTCAAACAGAAATGGCAGTTCTTTTTCCTTTCTTTTGTTAATAAATAATTTGTTGCAACCTTACCAACCGCATGTCCTCCTTTCATTTGTTACGGCTTTGAGCCGGTCGTGACATGAGTGAAATCAAGAAAATATAAACATAATACAAATGTATGGTTACTCTTTTGATGCAACAGTTTGTATTTGACGATCCTTCATGTTGTTGATCAAACATATTTTATAGTTCTCCCTATAGAAACATGAGGTTTGTGCCTATAATAGTTTCAAAGTAATAATTTGAAGATCAGTATCTCATTCACGGAAAGATTCAGGGACGTATAATTTATAAAATTGCATCAAAAGGATAAAAATTTTGTAATGCAATTGTCTACTTTCTGCTGTTATATCAGGGTTCATCTTTATGCCCTTTCACTTTATTATGTCCTTTCACTTTTCAGTTTTTTTTAACGAGTTACTGACAAATGTACTGTTTTTACTTTCGTGAAAAGCGCTATACAAATAAACTTGAATTGAATCGAATTATTAAAAATAATTCTTCGTTTGTTAAGAATTCACACTCACAGAGCTTTTCTGCAGTTGATCACAGCTGGTATCAGTCTTCTTCTACCCTCATCTGATGTGTTGTATTTCTTGAGGTCCAGCTCATCCAGCGGCTCCTCTGACATCTGAAGCATGTAGGCGATTGTTGAGCAGTGAGCGGCAGAGAGTTTCTTCTCTGAGTGTTTGTCTGATTTCACAAACTCCTGAATCTCTCTGGACAGAGTCTGATCTTTCACTTCCAGCAGACAGAGGAACAGATTGATGGATCGCTCAGTGGAGACTGCTTGTCCGTTTTTGATCTTCTCTTTAATGTAAAGTAGGGTGACCATACGTGCCATTTTCCCAGGACGTGTCCTGGCCAGGATTTCTATATTGCCTAAAATATCTAGGTTTTGGCTTTGTTTGCGTGTGCAGACCGTTAAACACTCACAGAGCTTTTCTGCAGTTGATCACAGCTGGTATCAGTCTTCTTTTACCCTCATCTGATGTGTTGTATTTCATGGTGTTCAGCTCATCCAGTGGCTCCTCTGACATCTGAAGAATGTAGGCGATTGTTGAGCATTGAGCAAGAGAGAGTTTTTTGAGCAAGAGAGAGTGTTTGCCTGATTTCACAAACTCCTGAATCTCTCTGGACAGAGTCTGATCTTTCACTTCCAGCAGACAGAGGAACAGATTGATGGATCTTTCATCTGATAGTTTCATGTTATAGTCATCTGTCTTGATCTTGTCTTTAATGTACAGTGTTATTGTCTTGATGCTATTTGAGCTGTTCTCTGTACGTGTCAGTAGATCCTGTAAGAGTCTCTGATTGGACTCCAGTGAGATGCCCAACAGGAACCGCAGGAACAGATCCAGCTGTCCATTCTCACTCTTGATGGCTTTATGTATTGCTGACATTAGTAGATCATGCAGATAGAATTCAACAGACATATGCTTACCATATCGATAGTCAGGGTCATAGTTATGTGTATGTTTTTCATCCAGAAACTGCAGTGGTTCCTTGTTCTTTGTTAAATAGCAGTAAAACAGATAGAAAGCAGCAAGAAACTCCTGAACGCTCAGATGACTGAAGCTGTAGACTTTCCTCTGATGAATCACAGATTCTTCTTTAAAGATCTCAGTGCAAATCCAAGAATACACTGAGGCATCGGTGATGTCTATGCCGCTCTCAATCAGGTCCTCCTCATAGAACATCACATTGCCCTTCATCAGCTGTTTGAAAGCCACTTCAGCAAGTTTCACAATCATTTCTCTATTTGACTGTAGGAGATTCTCTAGATTATCCTCTTCATATTTCTGATTCCTTGTATTTATTTGAATTAGCAAGAAATGTATATACATTTCAGTAAGAGTTTTAGGGATTTCTTCTTGCTCTTCTGATGTGTGAGATGATTCTGCTGGTTTGATGCTGCTCACTGATTCTCTTTCTGAAATATTCCTCCTTCTGAGGCTCAGTGAATCCCTGAATTTCTGTCAGACGGTGGATGTATTTGGAGGGGATCTGATTGGCTGCTGCTGGTCTGGAGGTGATCCAGATGAGAGCAGAGGGAAGCAGCTCTCCTTTCATGAGCTTTGACATCAACACAGCCACTGATGAAGTCTCAGTCACATCACAAACTTTCTGAGCGTCTGAAAACATCAGTGTGATTCTGCTTTCATCCAGACCATCAAAGATGAACACAACTTTACACTCCTCATAAATCTGTGAGTTCAGATCTTGAAGTTCAGGATGAAAGTTCAGCAGAAGTCTGTGAAGACTGTACTGATGATGTCGGATCAAGTTCAGCTCTCGAAATGAAAGGACAAACATGAAATCTACATCCTGATTGGCTTTTCCCTCGGCCCAGTCCAGAATGAACTTCTGCACAGAGACGGTTTTTCCGATTCCAGCGATGCCTTTAGTAAGAACAGTCTTGATTTTCTTCTTCTTCCTCTTCTTCTTCTTCTTCTTATATCCTGCTTCAGGTGAGGCTTTAAAGATGTCATTGCAATCGATTGGAGTGTCTTGTGAGTGTTTTGTTCTGGCTGTTTTCTCCATCTGTAAAACCTCATGTTCTTCATTTACTCCTTCTCTCTCTCCCTCTATGATGTAGAGTTGTGTATAGATCCTTTTCAGGAGGGTATCATTCTCTTGTAGGTTGTTTCCCTCAAATAATCTCTCATACTTTTTCTTCATGCTGGCTTTGTGCTGGTCTTTGACTCTCTGTAGTTCATCATCTGTTGGTTGGTGAGAATCCTGCTGCAGGTCTCCAGTCTGATCATCTCTATCCACACAGCAGAAAACAGAACAACAACACAAAGAATGAATGAAAGCAGAAACAGAAAGATCTTTTCGTAAATCCACATATGCCATTCTCTGAGCCAGTTGAGACACAATAAACACCTTTAATACAGAAACTATCCCAGATCAGCTTGAACCAGCTTTACTCTTTTAATGACACTCAGTGAAAAATCTGTTGAGCCTTTCAAGGCGTTTGAACTGTGAAACATTTTGCATTTACAAAATGTTCCTCCATTGACCTCAGATCTCTCCTTAAAGGGTTAGTTCACCCAAAAATGAAAATTCTGTCATTAATTACTCACCCTCGTGTTGTTCCAAACCCGTAAGACCTTCGTTAATCTTCGGAACACAATTTAAGATATTTTTGATGAAATCTGAGGGCTCTCTGACCCTCCCATAGACAGCAAGGTAACTACCACGATCAAGTTACGAAGCTACGAGAATACTTTTTTGCGCAAAGAAAACAAAAATAACTTTATTCCACATTTTCGTCTCTACTGCATCACTTGTGGACGTGCGTTCACGACAGTATCATGACGCGAGCGTGTGGCGGCGCTGGCGCCGACCCAGATCCAGCGTGATGACATCATCACACCGGATCTGGGTCAGCGCCACCACAAGCTCGCGTCATGATACTGTCGTGAACGCGCATCCACAAGTGATGCAGTAGATACAAAAATTGTCAACAGTTCATTGCCCTGTTTCATTGTTTTGTTTATTTGTTACTTTGGACTGCTTACTTAGATTATGAACCTTGCCTGTTCTTTTGTATTACTCTTTTGCCACTGCCTTGGATTACCTTGTTTGCTGGATCTTGACCTTGCCTGTTCGACTATGCCTTTGTGTTAATAAAGCTTGCACTTGGATCTATCTAAAGAGTCCCCGTTACAGAAATACTTTGCCTACCACAGATCCAGCAGTTTTATCGAACACCAGACCAACCATGGATCCAGTATCTCGCCTCATTCGCCTTCGCCAGGGAGATCAGCCTATTGTGGATTATGTGGCAGAGTTTTGTGAACTGTGTGACCAGGTGGGTTTCAATGACATTGCCCTAAAAGACATTTTTTTGTTTTGGTTTAACTAAAGGAATATCGTGTATAATGCCACCACATTCCCCACACTGGTCACTAGAGCAATATATTGACTTTGCACTCCGGTTGAGTGGTTCCTCATTTACTGTGGGGATTGCTGATGAGGAACCCTGAGGAATGAGGAATATCCTCCAGTACCTACCACACCAGGACATTTTCACACCCCGACTGTCATGTCAAGGCCTGCTCACATCACGCCAGCCAAGCCAGAGCCTGCTCACGCCTGCCAAGCCAGGGCCTGCTCACACCAGAGCCTACGGCAGCCATGCAAGTTTCAACATCTGAGTCCCCGGCCAAGATGGCCATCACGCCTGAGTCCCCAGCCAAGATGGCTGCCACACCAGAGCCTCGTCATGCCTGCCGTACCATGCAAGTTTCCCCTGGGAATTTTTCTGGGGGGGGGCTATAGTACCCAAGCTCCTGCAGATGCGGAGCTTGGTCCAGGACTGACAAGAATGATTGCCAGTGTGATGGACCAACCACTGATGTCAGTGTGAGCGGCTGGCATAGCAGTGGTCTCTACGCTCTCAAACCTCACAGCCTCATGACTCTCAAGCCCGGCTAACCTCCCTCTATCTACTGCGTTGCCCGTGATGGCAGTCGCCATTTTGTGTGTCTGGGCAACACACTGCTCTCAGGCCCCAAAGGCCTCTCCTGTCTACGTGTCTGCCAAAGAGGCATCCACTGCAGTACCTCCAGAGGTGGCGGAACTCACTGTCTGCCCCGTTACGGCCAAGGAGGCCGTTCATTAACTCTCTGTCTGCCCCGTTACGGCCAAGGAGGCCGTTCATGAACTCTCTGTCTGCCCCGTTATGGCTGAGGAGGCCGATTACGAACTCTCTGCCTGTCCTGTCACAACCATGGAGATAGACTGTGAATGTCCTGTGAAGGCCGTTGAGGCCACTGTTAACCTCTGTTAACCCTGCTCTTATTTCCAGTACAGCCTGATCCGCCGTGGTGGTCATCTGCCCAGCTCTGGTGGTCTTCTGCTCCGTCTTGGCTTCCTGCTCCTCTGGCTCTTATCTGATGGTCTTCTGCTCCACCTTGGCTTTCTGCTCCACCGGCTCTGCATCATGGCCCAGGTCCTCCACTGCACCATGGTCCTCCATTGCTCCATGGTCAGCTATTGCTCCATGGTCCAGGTCCTTCACTGCTCCATGGTCTGCCACATGAACCTGGCACTCCATCCTTCCTCCTGTTCTACCTCCGCTCCACCGCCCTCCTGGACTTATGCCTGATCTGGTTTAGGAACGTCTGGGAGCCGCTCCTTAAGGGGAGGGGTGTTATGTCAGGATCTCCAGCTGGAGTGCCCATGAGATCCTCGAGAGGGCACTCCATCCTTAAACTGTACCATTGTTTCACGGACTACATCTCCCATAACACCCCATGACATGAACTGATTACACCTACAGCTGTTTCCAATTAGAAGGACTATTTAAGTTGCACTCATTCACATCCACATTCTGAAGTATTGTTTTGCTGTTGCGGACTCTACCAAGCGTTTTCATTTGCCATTGCATTTGCCCCGTTTCCTAGTTTTGTTTATTTGTTACTTTGGACTGCTCACTTGGATTATGACCCTTGCCTGTTCTTCTGGATTACTCTTTTGCCACTGCCTTGGATTACCTTGTTTGCTGGATCTTGACCTTGCCTGTTTGACTACGCTTTTTTGTTAACGAAGCTTGCACCTGGATCTATCTAAAGAGTCCCCGTTATACTGACTGTCTTCAGAAAAGTTTAAATGGCATTTTCATTTTATCTGTAGTAATTTTCAGATGTTAGGTAGCTTCACACGGGGTACCACCAAATGTAGTGATTTCAAGTCTAAGTAGCACCACCAGTGTAATGGCTTGGGCTTAAATATTAATATTAATATTTAGTTTTAGGTTTTAGGTCACACTATTTTACGGGGCACATTGACATGGACTCTTTGCCTGTGTTACGTCCCTGGACGTATTGTTGTTATTATTGTTATATTCTGGTGCAAATGTATCCGCGTGGTTGAGTGCTCTGTGTTGTGCTTGGTGTGTCTCTCTTTCTCTCTCCCTCTCTCACTCTGTTCCCTCTCAGGCTGAATCACCATCACCTGTAGCTTGTTATGAGAGCGTGACTGAGAGTGGAGTATATGGTGGCAGTCTAGTGTTCGCTGAGGAGAGACACACTTCTCCCCTGCTCCAGACTGAACTCTTTGGTGGATTGTTGTTTGTCACCCTCAGATTTTGAGTTGTTTATTAGCAAGTGACTAATAGTGCTTCTGTGGTGAGCGTTGTCTGGAAATAATATCTGACCCTGTTTTTGCTTTGTTGACAAGCTAAAGCTAAATAGCAGGTAATATATTCTTTTTATTTTCCTTTTTTCATATATGGGAGTTAAAAGGGAAGCTGTAGGGAGAGAGTGTCTTTTTCTTTGGATACTACTTTCATCCCTGTTTTTGGTTCAGTTAGGGAGTTGAGGTAAGTTTTATGTTGTTTATTTCTCTTTTCTTTTGGGTGTTTGAGGTAAGTTAGTGCTGCTCCCTAAAATAGTTAGTTAATTGTTTTGTTTGTTATTTTAGGCCTTGCTCTCTCCTGAGCCATTGCTCCCTATCTCTTTGTTAAACTCGTGTTTTTTTTGTAAATAAATCTCCATCTTTGTATACATTTGAATCTGTGTCATTTTCACTCTGGGACAGAGGACTGAAGTGTGTTCTTGCCGCTCTTTTTTTTAATTTATGCTTTTTTTCCTTTGCTACTTCCCCTCGCAAACCCCTAGACAGGAGGGGAACGTAACAATTGGGGGCTCGTCCGTTCGCCTCTTAATTCTAATTTGGTGAAAGATTCATCTATTTTTGCGTCTTATAGAGGCAGAGACTGACCAAGCTTTCAGACTACAACAGTTAAAAGATCAGGACCTGAAAGACAGGCCTGTGCCTAGGGCGCGGTCACGACTACCTTCTGCCACCTCTCCTGCTGCTGCCCCTCAGAGCTCGCATGAGGCTGGTGCAGATGCGAGTTTTGACGTTAGTAAGAATCTCAAACTTGTTCCACCATTTAGAGAGAGTGAGGTAGATGCATATTTCGTCACATTTGAACGCATAGCCACCAAGTTAAGCTGGCCAAAAGATGTGTGGGCTTTGTTTCTGCAGTGTAGCCTTACTGGGAAAGCCCACGAAGTCTCCTCTGCTTTGCCACTCGAGCAGTCTCTTGACTACGACGCCGTTAAAGCTGCTGTGTTGAGGGCTTACGAATTAGTGCCGGAGACGTACAGACAGAAATTCCGATCCCATGCGAAAACTGCCAAACAAACTTACGTCGAGTTTGCCCGAGAAAAACGCACACTTTTTGAAAAGTGGTGCTTTTCTAACCGAGTTACCACTCTTGAACATCTTCAGGAGTTCATTTTGCTTGAGGAGTTCAATAATTGCTTACCTGAAGGTGTAGTGGTACATTTAAGCGACCAAAAAGTGACGTCTCTTGTTGATGCGGCCGTGCTAGCTGACGAATTTGCTCTAATGCATAAGAGTGTGTTCACTACTATGAGGCGTAACATACTGCCGGTAACCAGTGAAAGCTCAGCCCGAGAAAAGATCTATGACTCTTCTCGTGCTAAGACTGAGACTTCATCCAACTCACCTCGTAGGAAAAGTAATGGTAAACGAGTTTGCGTCTTCTGTCTTGACCCAAATCATCTCATTTCCGATTGTAGAGCTTGGAAACAGAAACTAGCCGCTATACGACCTAAAAGTACAGCTTTGGTTTACACGTTTGGTGATGTTGATAATGTCGCTACTGTTACTTGTGAGTATCTGCCATTTCTGCTGGATGGCACAGTGTCTCAGTCATCTGAATCAGAAGGGAAGCCGGTGAAGATTCTGAGAGACACTGGGTCAGTCCAGTCGCTAATTCTGGAAAATCGGTCACCGTCGTTGGCTAGTTATGCCGGTGCAGATGTTTTAGTTTGAGGTATTGGTATGCAGTGCATCAGCGTTCCCCTACATGATCTGTACTTGCAATCAGAGTTAGTAACCGGACCTGTGAGGCTTGGGGTGTGTTCTCGCTTACCAATTGAAGGGGTAGATGTTATCCTCGGCAACGACCTCGCTGGTGGAGAGGTATTCCCATGCCCAGTGATGTAGTTGACCTCTCTGAAACCTTCTTGGTTAACTCAAATGATTCGATTCCAAAGGAAGCTGTTGTAAAGGGATTTGATAATGCAGAGACTGTGCCAAACTGAATTCTGTTGTTGGGGTAGGAAGGGAACAATTGGCAGCTGCTCAGAAAACAGACCCCTCGTTAGCAAGGTGCATTGAGTCTAGGGTGGGACTCAAGAGAAACTATAGTGATAAGGTATTTCTGGGATGACCAAGTTTTAATGCGGAGATGGAGGCCAAAAGCCCGTGCTGCCCTTAATGAGATTTACCAGATTGTGCTACCCCAGTCGTATAAGGAGCACGTATTGAAAGTTGCTCATAAGCATGTACTCTCAAGCGCATATCGCCCGCAAATCCCAAGGCGCGATAGAAAGATTCCACCAGACACTCAAAGCAATGTTGCGTACTTACTGTCTCTCTAGTGGAAGGGACTGGGCGGAAGGCTTGCCATTTTTGATGTTTGCAATCAGAGAAGCAGAGCAGGAGTCCCTTGGTTTCAGTCCAGCAGACCTTGTATTTGGACATACAGTGCATGGTCCTCTTAAAGTGCTAGCTGAACAACTGCTGGCCCAAGATACGTTGCCAGTAACCACCCTTGACTATGTTAGTTCCTTTCGGTAGCAGTTGCACAGGGCACGTGAACTTGCTCGGGAACATCTAATGACGACACAAGCAAAGATGAAAAAACATTTTAATAAGAAAACTGTCTCCCGTAGTTTCCATCCAACTGATGAAGTTCTTGTACTTCTTCCTGAACCTGGTTCGCCCTTACAAGCAAAATTCACAGGCCCCTATGAAGTGAAAGAAAAACTCAGTGACACCGACTATGTGGTCAGTACTCCTGATAGTCAATGCAAAACCAGAGTATGTCACATAAATATGTTAAAGAGGTTTGTAAGCAACTCTCAGCCTGCTTCTCCATTTGAATCTGTCTCTCCGGTACCTGTTGCTATGGCAACGTGCAGCCAAGAAGCTGTTCAAGTTAGTCATCAAACTGGTGGAAGGTTGCAAAACTCTGCTGTGTTGAAAGATTTGACCACATTCCTTGCTCACTTAAGTCATGACCAGAGTAAGCAGATTATTCAGCTGATGCAACACTTTGGGTCACTGTTCTCTGACGTGCCAGGCAGAACCTCAGTTCTAGAGCATGACATCGATGTAGGGCAAGCTAAACCAATTAAACCGCACCCATACAGGGTTAATCCAACTAAGCGTAACATCATGAAAGTTAAAGCGGAGTACATGTTACAGCATGGCCTGGCCCGACCCGACCTAGTCAAAGTCCTTGGAGCTCCCCTTGTTTGTTAGTTCCCAAGGCAGATGGCACTTTTCGTTTCTGCACCGATTTCCGCAAGGTCAATGCAGTTACAAAAGCAGATTCCCAGAATGGAGGACTGTATAGACAGAGTGGGATCGGCGGAGTTTGTCACGAAGCTGGACTTGTTGAAAGGCTACTGGCAGGTGCCCTTGACTGTCCGTGCCTCAGAAATTTCTGCATTTGCCACCCCAGACCACTTCCTTCAATATGATGTCCTCGCCTTTGGAATGCGCAATGCACCAGCCACCTTTCAGAGGCTGATGCATATTGTCCTCGGAGATGTGCTCAATTGTGATGCCTATCTCGACGATATTGTGGTCTATACTAAGTTGTGGGCGGACCACATTAAAACATTGGAGATGGTTTTTGAGAGATTGGCACATGCCAGACTGGTGTATATGAAACATACAGCAACATAAAGCCAATTCACACGGCCATACTCCAACAGAGTGACCGCACTGACCAAACAAAACAAAATAAGCATTTTGTGGCAGTGTGAAATGACAATAATGCTGTATGTTAGGTGTGAGACTCATTAAACTTCGTTTGCTATAATACATCTATTCATAAGTGCACCAGTGTGAATCATAATTCCACCCACATTTGCTGTATATCCATATCTTTGTCATAGTATTCTTTCAGTGGTTAACTCATTGAGACAGTCCCTTACTCCCAGCTACTGGCATAACAATGTAACCTGCAATGAAAGAAGCCCAGCCATGATATTGTTATTGTTTTTTTTTTTTTTGGGGGGGGGGAATTGACAAAAAAAAAAAAATTACACGGCCATACTCCAACAGAGTGACCGCACTGACCAAACAAAACAAAATAAGCATTTTGTGGCAGTGTGAAATGACAATAATGCTGTATGTTAGGTGTGAGATTCATTAAACTTGGTTTGCTATAATACATCTATTCATAAGTGCACCAGTGTGAAGCACAGTTCCCTGCACATTTGCTGTATATCCATAAAGTGATATCTTTGTCATAGTATTCTTTCAGTGGTTAACTCATTGAGACAGTCCCTTACTCCCAGCTACTGGCATAACAATGTAACCTGCAATGAAAGAAGCCCAGCCATGATATTGTTATTGTTTTTTTTTTTTTTGGGGGGGGTGAATTGACAAAAAAAAAAAGATTTTGCATATGATTTCCAATTAACTATTGGAAGTGGGTTGGTTAAGGGCCTGATTAGCTGATTTACAGCTGATTAGCTGTATTACAATGCTTGATTTGGGTTCAACGGTGTAGCATGTGATTAGTTGAGAAATTGTGCATGGTTAATGATGGTTCTTAAATATTTAAATGCAGTGTGTTGAATGCCTACTAAGACTTGCATATTTGTGCATAATGTTTTGACCCTGGATGCTTACAGAAGGATAATCTTTCATTTATGTGCCGAAAACATAAGCATTCATAATTTTTGTTGGTTTATGCTTAACTGGTGTTGATAAATGTAATCTTTATATTAATAAGTCAATTTATATTGTCACTGTTTTTAAGTTACATTGTCTGGAGAGTTTTTCAGTGTCCAATTTTTGTTTGTATTCTATTTATTGTGTAGGGGCAAATTATAATCTATATAAAATGAAAACATTTACATGTGTGGAGATTTAATTTATTTACATAAAGTTTGAGTAAACGGGAATATATCCTATAAAACATGTTTACGTTTATTTAATTAAATATTGGAATGTTTTAAAATATTTACATTTATAGAAATGTTATATATTTACATGTACAGAAATGTAATATGTTAACAAATATTAGAAATTAATATATGGACATATATTGAAAATTAATATATTTACATAGTCTGATATCTAAATGTATTTACATATAAAGAAAATAAATATATGTAAATATTTCTTTACAATATTCTTTTTAAATATATATTTACATATTTAGTATATGTTAAAAATATTAAAAAGCGGCCAAAATCAAATATATAAATATATTTTTTAAATATATTTAAAAATATATTTACATATATTGTATAAAATATATTTTCTTCTATTTGAATTTAAGATAATTAAATATATGAAATCTATTTATTATTAATATATTTCAATCTATGTGACTTCTGTATGGGGTGTCCTGATCAGCTTGTCAGTATATTTATTTAACATACTGTATTTGTTACATTATCAGATAAAGCCCACAAATAATAGCATTGTTACATGATAATATAAATGACATTCTATAATCATATCTTTATACAAATGTTATACCTGATTCCAGGCCGTGAATCTCCGCTCTTAAAGTTTATTGGATCAATCATAGATGCGTCACTCTTCATAGACACACAGCGGGACTCTGCTTCTGATCTCTTCTGATGAACCGAGCTAAAACAGAGAGAGATTAAAGTAATTTTTTGAAATTACTATATGCAACAAATCAACAACACATTTATCATTTAAAAAATCACAATTATTTTCTTTATACAAAAACTGTCACATTATGAGATGCATATAAAAATACCTACAAAATACAGGAATTTCTTGTAGAAAACACATGATAATATAAAATGTCGTACTACAATTATATTTACATTTACATTTAGTCATTTAGCAGACACTTTTATCCAAAGCGAATTACAAATGAGGACAAAAGAGCAATCAACAAAAGAGTGATAATACATAAGTGCTGTAACAAGTCCCGGTTAGACTAACACAGCACATGTAGCAAGTTTTTTTTTTATAATAAATAAAAAGAAAACAAGTAGTAAGAATAGAAATAGAATAGAGAGTGCTAGAGTTAGAGGGTCAAATAAAGATGGAAGAGATGAGTTTTTAGCCGATTCTTGAAGATGGTTAAGGACTCAGCTGCTGGGATTGATTTGGGCAGGTCATTCCACCAGGAAGGAACATTTAAAAGTCCGTGAAAGTGATTTTGTGCCTCTTTGAGATGGCACAATAATACGCCGTTCACTTGCAGAACGCAAGCTTCTAGAGGCACATAACTCTGAAGTAATGAATTTAAGTAAAGGGGTGCAGAGCCAGTGGGGGTTTTGTATGAATGCCTTGAATTTTACCACAATCATACTACAATCATATCTTTATACAAATGTTATACCTGACACCAGGCTGTGACTCTCTACTGTTTAAGTTTATTGGATCAATCATAGACGCGTCACTCTTCATAGACATACAGCTGGACTCTGCTTCTGATCTCTTTTGATGAACTGAGCTAAAACAGAGAGAGAGTAAAGTAAATTTTTTTAAATTACTATATGCAACAAATCAACAATACATTCATTTAAAAAAATCACTTTAAAGAGCACTCCATCATTTTCTTAATACAAAAAAAAACTGTGTGTCTGTCACATTATGAGATACATATTAAAAAAAACATACAAAGTACAGGAATTTCTTGTAAAAAACACACAATAATATAAAATGTCTTACTACAACCATATCTTTACAAACACTATACCTGAGATCAGGCTGAGTATCTCCACTGTTAAAGTTTATTGGATCAATCATAGACGTGTCACTCTTCATTGACACACAGCTGGGCTCTGCTTCTGATCTCTTCTGATGAACCGAGCTAAAACAGAACAAATTTAATCATTTATGATGAGAATCATCTTAATATAAGATCTTCAAAAACTATTTTTAATGAATAGCATTAATGAAGCTTAATGGTGTTATTGTTTTCAATTAATATTAAAGTTAAAAAACTTTTTTTATACTGTAGACAGCCATCTTATCTATAACATAAGTTATTCAATGTGTTTCTCAAAGTACCTGCATCCTGGAAACAAATCTTCATCTCCAGATGTTTGAGTTTCATCCATGATGGATCTGAACAGTTTGATCTCCACTGACTCTAGATGAAACTGACAAACAATCACAAAAACTAAGCTAATCAAACAGCCTTTATCCACCTTATTTTGGAAGTAAGTTATTTTCTGTGAATGAGTTTCGATGCATCAGCAGCTAGTTAGTTAAATAAGTAGAAGAATAACAGTAAATGGAAAAAAACTGCACTACAATCCAGTGTGTTTATGTGTACAATAACTAATAAAAATAATTAGATGAATAACAGTGTGCGATATCAAGCAGCATAATAACGTAGTGTTTTTGTACAGCTAAATAACTGGAATCAAATGACACCGGAAGTCTCGCGCGTTCTTACATTAAAGGGGTCATAAGCTGAATTTTTACAATTATTGTATGACGTTCACTTATAATGTTACTGTGATTTTACATAAAACAAAACAAAACAAAACATAATTTAGAAGTAATAGGCTATTTTCTATCCTGTTTTTGAGCTTCTCTGCAGAACGGTCTGTTTTTATAGGCGTGGTGCATTCAAGACTCAAGGAAACGCCCACTGCTGTGATTGGCTGACAGTTTTGATTATTAAAATAACAGATGGACACTGCTGTGATGTTATCTGAAAACAACATAGATCATTTGGGTTAAAAATGTATAAATACTCAGTATATATCAAATGGTCTGGAACAGACTGTTACGGGGCGAATGAGACGTGAGACATGCGGATCCATGTGCAAGGCTTTATTTACAAAGGTGTGGTCAATAAACAGGCAAGGGTCAGATAACACAGGTATATCACAGGCAAGACAAAGAATATTCCTAGGGCTAGCATGTGTCTTCGATCGGCGAACAGTATCCAGAGGGCTTGACAAGAGGGGTAATCCAATAACACGAGCAATAGTTCAGGCAAGGTGCAAACACAGTCCAAAACAGCAAGACAAAGGTTTAATCCAAGAAACACAGGCAGAAGGTCAGGAAACAGACAACAAGGCAACACGAAGTGGCTAGACTAAGGCCCAATCCCAATTCTATTTTATACCCCTTCCCCTTCCCCTTGTCCCTTGAAACAGTGTCAAGGGGTAGGGGTGAAAATATTCCCCTAAGAATTGGGACACCACTACTATACCATCACACGTCATCATACGTCGTCTAGCTCCTACAATACACACACCTATACTGGTGTGCTGGTATGCATTAGAGCCATCTATATTATAGCTGTTCTATATTAATGCGCTGTTTACTGACTCACACACACACACACACACACACACACACACACACACATATATGAGATTGTGCAGCTCACACATCCAGGAGCAAAGAAACTTGTCAACGCTGCCCCACGACTTTTATTAATAACGGTTTAAATACTGAATCGCTTCATTATATTTTCCAGCAACGAGAGGATAAAATCGCTGTTTTTAAGTAAACTCACTCTAAAAAGAGAGACGCACAGACACGCAACTTTCATCTCTCTCTCTCTCGAATTGGTGATATTTAAGAAAAGGGTTTAGCAATTTATAATTATTGGGGGGACTAGCCCCCTCAATGTCTACGGTGGTTATCGCCCTGATCAGACATGAACATATGTTGTGGCACTATCGTGCAGCCTGTAATGATATGATATTAGTTAGCAAACGGGCGGGTGTTATATAGTGTATGTAATAGTTTTCAGGTGAGCGTGTGATTGGTTACAGCTGTGTGCAATCGGTGCAATGGATGATGGGAAATGCTGTCCAGGGTGATGTGTAACAGTCTGTGTGGTGTGAGAGTCAGTATAATGGGATTGTGACCTCTGGTGGCAATCGGACGGAAGGCCACGGACCGGATTCATGACACAGACAATGCAATAATGGTAAATACAGGTTTACTCGCACTTCTGTGTTGCGACGTTACTGTTGGAACCACTCTAGTCAGACTCAGCATTGTATCATCAGTCTCTGACGTTTGAGGCTGATTCCCACAAAACTACATTTTCTGCAAGACTTTTTCAAGATAAATTTAAACATTTTTAATTTTCATAATTCACAATGTATATGTCACACTCGCTGGTGGGAGATCAAGTGCACAACACAGGAGATGAATAACATACAGTCTTTAATAGTAATTCACAGGAAAACAGACAGGGAATCCAGGAGGAAGGCAAACCAACGACATGTACACAAACAATAACCGGCAAGAACTGAACAGAAATGGAGAGGACTTATACAAAAGCAAGAGAGGGACTAATGATTAAATTAACAGGACACAGGTGAACAGAATGAACTAATCAAGGAAAACTAGGTCAAGGGACTGAAACAAGGAAGGAGAACAGAAAAACACAGAAAACAAGGTTCAAACTATGACAGTATACAGTGCAAAAACTGAGTCACATTTGTTTAGAGCATTTTCTATAACGACAAGTCAAGCTGCAATACCAAGCAGGACCACACAGAGAATTATTAAACAGAGCAAAACACAAATTAAAAAAGAAAATTAAAAACATTCTGAATTTGTCAAATATGGTGATCTGAAGGCGGCTCGACATCACCAGTGAACAGTTCCTCTGTCAGAGTGAGTGTTTTTTGTCCATTTGTATACAAACACCACTGATCGCAGCAAACTCCTATAAAAAAACCTGCTTCTTCAGCGAGTGTCCATTATAAAACACCTACCAGACATGCGACCACGTGCTCATGCAAAGAGCTATCAGGGAGCGCACAGACAGGGTCTGTTTGTTTGAACACTAATAATAACGGACTCGCGCTTGTCTAATAATGTATGACTCCTGTATGTCACTGTAATTGTCTTTACCTCCATTCAGGGGCGTAGCGTCTGGGTATGCCCGTGCATATGGTCCCAGACTGATTGGGGGCCCGCCGAGGGGGACCATTTAATTAAAATGAGGGAACGAATTCTTAATTTAAACATTTAAAGTTGACATCCTTTCCACTGAGAATACACAAAGCCTTAAAGGGGTCATATGATGCGATTTCAAGTTTTCCTTTCTCTTTGGAGTGTTACAAGCTGATTGTGCATAGATAAGATCCCTGAAGTTGCAAAGACTAAAGTCTCAAAACCAGAGATATTCTTTATCAAAGTTAAGACTCTGCCACGCCCCCCTAAAACGCCTCGTTCTAACACGCCCCCACATATCTACCTCACTATGTGGAAATATTTGCATAATGCCGCCCAAATGTTCACGCAAAGAAAGAAGGCGTGGTTTCAGTAACCGCAGTTAGTGTTGAAGCAGCCATGTCAGGGAGACGCTGTGTGTTTCTAGGCGAAAGCAAAAGCACTTTATTTGGCCTTCCGAAAGTAGATGCATTTAGGAATCTTTAAGATAGCGCGAGAGAGAGAGAGAGAGCGCGCGAGAGAGAGCGCACGAGAGAGTGAGAGAGAGCGCGAGAGAGTGAGAGAGAGTGAGAGAGCGCACGAGAGAGTGAGAGAGAGAGAGAGAGAGCGCGAGAGAGCGCGAGAGAGAGAGAGAGAGCGAGCGAGAG